GTGAAAAGCCAACTTGATAACAATAATACTTGGCAAATAATATACTGCTGTTAATGGATTATCGAGAAGTTAACCGAGAAAAAAAGAAATAAAACTTCATTCTTAATTTATTCATAGTCAGATCAAATATATGTCGAAACTACTATGGTTTTGTGCTTAAGTTCGATTATAAACAAATATCAACAATCCATTAAGTTTGTTGTATTTATCATTATAAATGTAATTTGATGTATTTGGCGAGAGAGATAGAAATAATAAACGAAAAATCTATTCTGTGTCTATTCATTTTTGTGAATTCATAAAAAGAAAAATTATATGAAGACAAATTATGCGAATCTTCGTTTTAATATGCGATCCAGAGAATTTATTGGAAAATATCAAATCGTTTTTTTTCAAAAAAAAACATAGCAAGGAAAATAAAAGTAATAATTAATTAAATAAAATCAAGTCTTTTGTTCTGCTCGTTGTATTACATAAATACAATAATTTTGTCGTATAAGATTTAGATACGTAAGTCAACGTTTTGTTGACGGGAAATTTGGATTGAAATAGTTTACAAATATAAATAAATCGATTAAACAAGTAATGCGCTGCAAATGTCGCTGACCTTCTATTGAAAGGATATGGTGATGTTGGGCATATTGTATTCGAGCAGCGAACTAGACGAGCTAATAGACTCATATACATGTAAAAGAACAATATTAAAGGAGTAGCCTATGGATATGTATAATTTAGTATAATTATTTGTTTAATGACTCGTGTGGGAATTAATATAAAGCGATATTAAGAATCAAACTTGTCAGAAACCTTCTTCAACGAAATAATGATCATACTTGTATTAATTAGAAAATGACAGCTAATGTTGTTGATCTTCTGAATTTTGTCTTTGTTATTTCTCTTGTTTTTATTTTATTCATGTGAAAGATTTGATTTTGCTAAAGTTTATGAGAATTCGTAAAAGTCTTGCTTGAAATAGCATCATTAAAATTTGATGCATTGAAATTGATTAGAAAAGATGAATTTTAATGACGATTTTGCTTTTTTTTGTGTTCAAGCATGTTTATTTCGATTATTACTCATTGGTTTTTGATGTCTTTGAGAAATATATCAATGATAAGGACCTGTCCATGTAACGGTATACCTGAGTGGATGAAGTTAACCTACTTAATTAACCGAAATCAATATAACCATCATGTAGAACGGTGATGATAACATTACATACATGCATTTTTCACTCGCATAGTTTGAAGTTTTGGGTAGAAAAATAAATGTTACAAAGGATATATGTCTCAGAAGTCATAAAAGTCATATTTTACTATTAGTTCTTAATTTCGAAGTTTTCGTATAAGCAAATATATCTTCTTCGAAATTTTTTACAAGAGCTAACGAGACTTTCTACAGAGTATACAATTGTGACAAAAGGCCTGCGTTTTGGTGCTTCTATAGATATTTATTTAAATATGTAAAGGTAACAAATTGATGAAGGTGATTCGATCAAGAAAATCTATTCTAATTCGTTTTTAGCCAACAGCAAGTTTGGTCTGTATTTGAACAGATGATGTTCTGAATACACATTTTGGGCTCTATAGTATGGTCCGATTAGATAGTTTTATTAACATTCTAACTGGTCAGGAATACCGTGATGGAATTACCATGGAATGATTAAGCTTTTGCCACAAAACATTTGAATCGCCGTTTTTCTTTCAAGTTGTTATCTTAAATAAATGTTTGACTCCAGAAAAGCAAATTTTGAGCCTTACTGCCTAATTGCAGCACAGATATACGACGATTTCGGTTATTGATTGAGCCTATTCTGAGATTGTACAGGTCCACATAAAGATAATCATAGGTGGCATATGAAAAGAAATAGCTTTTATGCAAGCAATTCTCTTTGTAATCATTGTTTTCCTATTCCTGTATTTTACAATTCTTCTAACGAAAAAACATATGCTGATGTGCTGTTCTATCACTGTAGTGAGATATGATACTTCTTTACTCAGTCAATAAATCTCGTTCATACTTTTCAGTAGAGATTTATTCGAATAAACCGATTGTTAGAAAAACTAGCAAAAACATCATTTGATTTCATGAAAAATCGTGACAGTATGTAATTAGTTGAGTAGGTAGATTAGTAGCATCAGTAGTAAACAGGAGACGAGAAGTGACCGAGACTGTCCAAAGAACCTGTGATAAGTCACGAAAACTCAATGAGCTATATTTTTCGATCAGGAAAAGCCTATTTTGAGGAAATGATGATGTATAATGAAGTTTGATCACAAGCATTCGGAGCCGAGGAATCTGAATCCATATGGGTGACTTTCTGAAAATATCAAACTCAAAAATTTTAAGAAGTCATTAATACAATGAAATTCCTCGATCTCAAAAGCATTTTTTCAAACTTTATTCGAAATCATTATTTTCTCGGAATAGACTACTCCTCCTCATCAAACCAATCAAGCTCAGCAAATTCTCTGTTAGTAGTTACTTGATGTCCATAACAGTAATTGATCTCTTTAGCAGTAGGCGATGGATTGTCATAATGGCATTCCTAATTCCATATGCTCGTTGTTAAAAATGTGAAGAAAAATATAGTTTAGATTTTAGACTTTGTTTATATTTTATGGTTTTAAATTACAGATTTTATATTATTAGAAAGATATTTTAAACTGATTCTCTTAGTTGTCTCTCTTTATGAAATAAGTCTTTTAATTACGATGTACTACTACACAATTTTCTGAAGAAAATTAATGTTAAACAAACATCATCATTTTTAAAATGTGATACCATCACAGCGATTTTTTCGGCCTATAAAATTAGTATTACATTTTTTTCAAATGTTCTTTTTTTTGTACACATAGCTCGTTATCTGAGCTATAACTTTTCTAGAGAAAGTTTTTTTCATTAAATTGATAGTTGAGCTAAGGTTTTTTTTTTCATTCTTTGAGCAACAGTCTAAATTCAAGTCCATTTTTGGTGATTCTATTACGTACCTATATGTAAGTCATAAAGCAAGTATGAAAATTGATAATTTTATGAAACTTTCAACATTTGTAGAGGAATCCGATTTTTATAACTTGTGAACATTTTAG